ACAATCTCAAGCAAGTGGCTTTTGAATGATATTGCTAAATGAGATCTTAGGCATGACTAAGTATGAAACCTACGGAATGGGACTCTATTTCCCAGTTCGCTTGGAAACTAAAGGAATGAGCTGGGTTTTCTAAGGTAATGCCTGACATTTGATAATACCCTGCGTTTGTGTAGCGCTTTATCCCATCAACAAGGAAGCATTCTGAGACTCACAACCCTGGAAGTAGCAAGGGACTCTGCCAGCTGTTATTTTTCTCTCAATTTCAGGTGCCCATTTTGTTCTAAGTCTCCCTTGGAGCACTGATTGTCATCAGTTCCCCATGTGGCCTGACCGTTTCCAGGATACCAGCAACTCAAACCTTTCAAGCTTAAGATCGGAATGTTCCCAGAATCAATACCAGATTCTGAATGCCTAGTGCTAAAGTCAGTAAAGAAAAAGTTACTCAAGTCTTTGACGACAGGATTTCCAACTACATACTCGTATCTTACTTCAAATTTCAGGTGCTTGAGCTGAGTCACAAGGTCCCTGTAAAGTTATTACTGGATCTAGAGCAGAATGAAAGTGGAAATTGTAAAGCTGGGTCTGACCCTTTGCAAGTTTGAGTTGCTTGTCATAGTTCCAATGTTGGGAGCAAGAGGAGGAGCCCAAGGTGCTCACAAGGACTTTGGTGAAACTAACGTTGCATCAACAGTGTTCAAGGGATGCTAGCATTTTTACAATACTCCATTTACAAGCACCTGTAAAGCATATATTATATTAAATAAATAAATTCCATTTATGAAGAATATGGAGAAGAACCTAGAACAAGAGAAAGAAGGCCACCACGTTTTGAGATCTGTTTTCCCTGATGCAATATACCTTTCTATTAGTTGCAAGGTCTATCACAAAACCTCAGCTACTAACTAATTGGTTGCTCATATTTTCAGTGGATTTCACCCTGAAGAGCACCTTCCATTATATTTTGTTGAGGGAAAAAACTGTCTTTGGCAAAGCAGGTGTGAGAATTAAGCAAGAAGGTCATGCTATTCTGAGAGAGGAAGAGCTGTTTCACCACAACCTCTCACCACACCAGCTGAGACAGCAGAAAGAATTTCTCTCACACAGCTGTGTTTTCAGAAGCCCATCAATCATTTGTTTATGTTTCTTTCAACAGATTTCACCCGTCATCTGTTTTAGAGCAAATAATTTTAGGAAATTAACAGTGTGGTTTTTTATAAATTTGTTTATTATTACAATGAAAGAACTAGCTGTCCCCATCAAGGTTATGTATTTTTCACATAAGCAACTTGGAGAAGGAAAGCATGCTTAGAAACACTGGCTTCCAAAATGGTCAATTACGTGACAACCAATAGCATTACATGATAATCTATCAGACTGTGACAACTTTGTTTTTCCTTTGAGTCATAAACACTTCTAAAATTTAAAACATTGCCAGTTCATTCACCAAGCTCTTAATTTAAAAGAACAGCCTATAATTTCTTAGAAAGCAAGTCTGTCAACCAATCTGGAAAGCTGGAAGCTATGAAACTTTTGACTCAATGCCCAAAATAGATATGCATAAGTCCAGAAAGGTATATTACTCAGAGGGTGTTAATGAAATTTCGTGGAGAAATGGAAAGGCACCTACACACCGTCCAAGAACACATTTGGTTAATTTAATCTCTCCACTTGATTAAACATCAGCAGAACAGTCCCATTCTCATCACTTAACTTAGTGAGAGTGGAATCAACTACTTTTACCCTCATGGATCATCGAGGCAAGCTACACGGGCCAAGACAGAAGTGAAGGACCAAGACAATTATCTGCCTTCAAAAATAAGTTTTTACTTGCCTTGTCTTGATACATTGTCTACACTTATCAGTTTACTACATAATTCCTCAACATGCTGTCATATGAAGGGTCCCAACTGTTCTGGATTCAGAGGCTGGGATAGGACTCAGAGAGGGGAGTTTCATGCGACCATGCTTTCCCTCCTCCTCTCTGCCCTCTCTCATCTCTTAGCAACTGGCAGCTATTGGTTTGGTTTGAAGCACTTATTGGTCAGTGGCTTGATTTGCATTTATTATAGTTCATTGTCTATCACCATATCTACAGTGTGCGTGGCATATAGCAATGGCTCAACAAATAATTGGTGATAGGATAAATTTTTACCCTAAATCCATGATGTGTGCAAAGTCAACCTGCAGCCAATGTGGAGGGCCCCCAGCTCCACCTTACAAGTTGCTAGTGGGTATGAAACGTGACTCCAGGCCTACTACCAAACCAAAAAGAACAAGTGCATTACCCCCCAGAGTGCCATCTGGGCCTGAGAAGAAATTCTATCAAGATTTAAATGACTGTGAAAATTAGCCCGCTGGCTGGGAGAATCCTGCCTCCCTCTACAATTCACCTCACGCATCCTAGGTTTCTCATTTGCACTCTCGATGGAATTAAGGTACAACATGTACCCACTCTTAACAACTTAGAGTTAGGTACCCTGCCATGCTCACACAGGTTTGCCTCAGAGGGAATTAGAAACCAAGAGTCTGTGTCATTGGTGGCTAGTTCTAACAAACCCTGATTCTCATAATTTTTATAACCAAATCACACCATTCCTTTTTCATAAACAGCTAATTTCATCCTTCTTTCTTTGGTTTCTTTGTTTGCTCAATGTCCTGTTTGGGGCCTAGCCCAACAGCTCAGATTCTCCCCAGGGTTGCTTTAGATAGTTTTTGTTGTGTTTTATCTTCGAATTCGGAGTTCCTGGGTGGCAAAAACAGTCAAGTGCTGGGCTACTAACCGAAAGTTTAGCAGTTCAAGCCCACCCAGAGGCACTTTGAAGAAAGGCCTGGTGGTCTGATTCAGAAAGGTCACAGCCAGCCTTGAAAACCCTAAGGAGCAGTCCTACTCTGCACACATGATGTCTCCATGAGTCAGAATTGACTCAGAACTGACGCAACAGCAACTAACAACAACAACATCTTCCAATTCAAGTGCTCACTTGAATTGCAAATGGAGTAATCTTTAAAATGTTCAGGTTAAATGATCAGAAAATATATCCAGAAAAGTGTTAGTAAATGACTTTGTAAAAAATGACTCTTCTCTGTTCCTCTCATTCTCCACTGTAGAAGGAGTACGGTTAAATAATAAGCAATTCTTGACTATGCAAGAAATCATAGCCGAGACTCAGAATAGGAAGGGAGTGGTCCATGACCATCCATTTAGTAGGAGATCTTGTTTACAGAGAGTGAGAGGGCCTTGGTGGAGTCTTTGCTTGTGACACCCAAACCCCAAACTGAGAAGGGAGGGAACTGAATCTGACCATACACACCGTGCCACACAGGTTATCTGAAATCTGATAGCAGTGCCCTGTGCCCAAATTACACAGGAAGCCAAGTACAACTGGGGAAGACGAAGCTGTTAGCTACAACCTAGTCTTTACTCAGAATTTCACATTAACTCTACGGACCCAGTTAAAGAGGGGCATAAGTCATACCCAAAATCAAAGGCATGGATCTATCTAGGGCAGTAGGTTTGAAACCCACTGTGACCAGGGAACGAAGGACTTGTCTTTAGCCACAATCTGCAAGGTACAGACAGCAGAAACAAAGATATCTTTTCTACATATTTTCCACTTAATATCTATGTATTTCCTCATAACATTTGGCATCTTTTCACCTGTCTACCTCTATGAAAGCCTAGATAATAAAGGCAATGAAAAACCAAACTCGTGTAATAAATTTCAAAACAGCTAGCCTCCTATAATGTGGGAATGGGCAAGAGATTCCTTTTCCAGCCTGTCACCATGGTAAATGAGAGATTAGCTTCTCAAAGAGAAACAAAGCAAGGGTGCCCTCTTTAGTGACTGCTATAATTCTCATCTGGCAACACCTGTTTTCACAATTGTTAATTTGATATGTAAAAAAAAAAAGTAAACAAGTGAATTGGTCAAAAACATGGTAAATGTCTTCAGATCCAGAACCCAGAGTCACTTAAATACATAAGATCTTAAAGGACACTATTGCCCCAACCCATGTCCCTAAATCAGGGGACGAGTGCAAACAGGGACAAAGGTGGCACAAAAACAGACTGTCCCTGAGTAGCAACAAAGGGTAGTCATCCTGTTCTCTTCCCACCAGCTCCTTCAACCAATGACATCCATCATGGTAACCAGAGAGCTAGTCACTATATTTTTATCTCTGGTCCCAGACACGGAACACACAGATGGAGGGCTGTAGTCTCAACATCTATTTCCCAGAAGTTGGGGTTACCTTTACGTCTGCCCACCTTTCAAGGGGAGATCCCACACACCAACAAAATGAATTCAAAGCATAGTGCTGGGAGGAGGAGACTTTCTCCTATGATCTTAGTCTATGTCAACCCAACCACCTTGTGCTGGTGGGAACTTTAAAATGATTGGCTGACGGCAGTAAGGGGAGAGGTAAACATTCCATTGCTAATATGGTCTGTGCAATCACAGGGCAAGAGGTCCTACATAAAACCTGAGAGCACAGGCCAGCTTCAAAGTTTTAACCACAGGGAAAATTTGAACATCCGTGACTCTACTGCTCAAGGAAACAGCCACGGGCTCACACCTATTTTGTTGATGAAAAAGGTAGTTGTCCCAAAAATGTTACTTTGAATCTATTTACAAAGCTGAGGCTCCCCCAGACCACAGGGAAAGAAACTCAAGATTCAGTTGTACAAATTGAAACTAATCAGTCATAAAAATAGATTTTTCCACCTAGAAATGGATCATCTAGAAGGAGGTGGAGACAAACTATGGATAAAATAGTAGGGTTGTAATAAAAATATACAAACTTTTATCAATGGCCAAGAATGACACCTCATATTTGTGAAGCATCTGAATGTTTCAACCACAGTGCTAGAAGTTCTGCAGATGTTCTTTTATTGAATTCCTATTTTAAAGCTAAGTTAAGGTCACAGTTAACTAATTAGTTTCTTTATTTCTATCTTTCTCTCTAGTCATAGCTTGCACTGTGTTTTGATTTGTAAGGGACACTGGGCTGAATCAAATACGATCCTATTTTTGAGCTGATGTTTAATCATTGGAGCCACATGGTTGTACCCAAGACCCTGGTGCCCCAGGTCATACATTTAGAGCTTCCAGGCAGTTCTCATCATGACGATGAAATACACATCTGTGTCAATGGAAGCACTCACGCCTGCATAGTAGTTCATAAACTCCTCGGGGGTCACCTGCAGCAGAAAAGTTAGAAACAAAAAAAGGAAACATTCTCATTCAGTAGAGGCCCATCTCCAGTACCTGCAGATGGAAGAGAAATTTAAGTCACGGAGGCTTTAGTGATCACAGCTGAGGAATAGATCTAAACAAGAAAAAAGGAGAAGTTGAGGATGGTGGTGGGGGTGGCACAGGGTAAGAAGTAAACGGGCGGTGAGGAAGAAAATTTTGAAAATTGTCAAACCAACCTAAATAGCAAGTGAGACACTGGTTCTCGTCTTTCTTTAAGAGCAGGAGTCCATCTGTTCAGATAAGGGATACTGAAATTCAGAAGAAGAAAAACGTGTTCTTCAACTGTCATTAATACTGTCTCTCAGTGACACACCAGAAACTACATTTCGTGTCCTTGCGTCAAGATACCAGACATTTTACCTTTGAAAAACTGGAGTTCTGTCCTGAGGGTAAAGAAACAGATTTCTAGTTAAACACACCTCTGCTGCATGCTTTCTAAGGTCCAAATTACTCATTCAAGACACAGAATGAGTAAAAGAGGTACTCCCCAGTCTACCTTGGATTCTTTCTGAATTCTACACCTATGACAGTCTATTTGGAATATTAACTAATGTGTTTATCCATGTGAGGATATAATATTACTTTGCTTTTTGAGAGAAAAATAAAGCATTAGTCATTAATCTTATTTCTTAATAGTTTAGGTAATATGTACACTCCAATTCACTCATACTGTCTGACATGGTTGGTTGATTCAGGGAAACAAATGTTTGGAGAATTCAGTGAACTCTCCTCTTTGACTGATCTCTATGACTAACTTTACCAACAAGTTTTGCTAACAATGTGTGTATTAGTTTCCTGTGGCAGTCATAACAAGTTACCTCAACCTTGGTGCCTTAAAAAACCAGAAATTTATTCTTGCACGCTTCTAAAGGCCAGAAGTCCAAGATCAAGGGTCATACTCGTCCTCAGGGCCATACTCCCACTGAAGGCTCTGGAGGAAAATCTGTTCCTTGCCTCTTCCAGCTTCTAGAGGTTTCTGGAATTCTTTAGTTTGAAGTAACATCACTCCAAATTCTGCCTCAGTCTTCATATCACCTTCTCTGTGTATGTTGGGATCTAATCTCTGTCTGCCTCGCTTTTATAAGGATATGTGTGATGGCATGTACGGCCCACCTGAATGATCCAGAATAAGTACCTCAAGATCCTTAACTTAATCATATCTTTTGTCATATAATATTCTTTTGCCATGTAGACATATTCACAAGTCCTATGGGTTAGAAAGTGAATATATCTTTGAAAGCCATTTTTTTCTGCTTACCACAGTCCACCCTCTTGCTGAGATTCTTGTCCATCCCACATTCAAAATACATTCATCCCATTTTAACATCCCCAATAATCTCAACTCAAGTCCAGAATTTCATCCAAATATCATCAGCTCAAAAATCCCAAATCTCTAAATCTCTAAATAAGGGATAGGTGAAACTCTGGGTATGAGCCATCCTGGGGAAAATTTTACTCAATCTGTAGACTTGTGAAACTAGGAAACAAGTTATCTGCTTCCAAAATACAATGATGGTATAGGCATAGGATAAAGGTTATAGAAATTCCCATTCCAAAAGAGAGATAATGGAAGGAATAAAGAGATCACTGATTCCAAGCAAGTTCAAAATTCAGAAGGGAAAATTCCATTAGGTTTTAAGGTCTGATAATAATCTTACATGGCTCAAGGCTCTGCTGTCTGGGCTTGCAGCTTTATCTTCTGTGCCTGCAACTCTGCCAGACTCTGTACCTGTGACTCCTCCAACTTCTGAGTAATCCTTCCTTTTTCTAGAAGCGTAGCACATGTTTGAAGCTGGGTAGTTTTATTAGTCTGCTTCCTGTCTGCAGAATTTGGAGAGTCCAACAACTTTCTTTTATTTTGTCCAGTCTGTCTCTTTCAGTCCAAGCTAGCAATTTCTGCTAATATAACATTCTCAAAAACCCTGTGGGTCTCCCCTGAATGTCATGGAGATTCATACCATTAGACAAGAGGATCTTCCACAGATCTTTCTTAGATAATCCATCTCTCTATTCCTGGGCTTCTGCTGAGATAGCTGAGTGGATCCATGAGTCACATGGGTAATCTCTTCAGCAAAAGGCTGTCCAGCCACACCCTTTTCCCCTATCCAGAGTATGCTTTCCTTATAGTGAATCTCCTAATTTCAGCATCTTTTGCAATCTAGATAGGCTGAGAAATTCCCAAATTATCAATTGGCTGGTTCCCTTTTCTTGACAGTTCCTTCTTCAATGTTCTCTTTCCTCTTGCATTTTACTATAAGCAACAAGAAGAAACCAGGCTACTCCTTCAACACACTCTGCTTGGATATATCCTTAGCTAACTATGAAACTTCATTATTTCCAAGTACTGCTTTCCATACAACTGAAGTAAATAATTTAGCCAAGTTTTCTACCACTATATACAACAAGGGTCACCTTTACTCATTTTCAATAACATGTTCCTTGTTTCCTTCTGAGCCCTCACCAGAAGCAACTTTAACATTCATATTTCTACCAACAATCCCTATGAGGCAAATCTAGGCTTTTTCTATCATGCACCACAAAATCCTTCCAGCTTCTATCCATCATCCAATTCCGAAGTCAATTCCACGTTTGTAGGTATTTGTTACAGCATCATCCCAATTCTGGTACCAAAATCTGCATAACTTCTTAGGACTCTTGCAAGAAATTACCACAACTTTGGTGGCTTAAAAAAACAGAAATTTATTATCTCACACTTCTGGAGTCCAGAAAGTCCAAGATCAAGGTGTCAACAGAGTAACATCCCACTGGAGGCTCTGGCGGAAAATCTGTTCCTTGCCTCTTCCAGCTTCAAGAGGCTTCTGGCATGCCTTGGTTTGAGGTAGCATCACTCTAAACTCTGCTTCTATCTTCATATAGCCTTCTCCTATGTGTGTGTTGGGGTCTACTCTCCCTCTGCCTCTCTCTTGTAAGAATACATGTGATGGCATGTAGGGTCCACCCAAATGATCCAGGATAAGCTTCTGTCAAAATCCTTAACTTAATCACGTCTTTTGCCACATGAGGTAATTTTCACTGTTTTACAATATAAGGCAACTGTCACAGATTCCAAGGATTAGGGCATGGACATATCATTTAGGGGGGCCACCATTTAATCTACTACAATGTGGATCTGCTCCTATGAGAAGACACACATACAATAGTGATGGCTGTCTTGTAAGTTTGTTGCGCTCTAGTTAACCCTCAATTTTAGTGCTCATAAAGGATTAAAAAAATCCCAAAAAGTAAAATCCATAAATAATTCAAAACCACGTTCCAGTCCATAACATCAAACTCTTTTCCACCCAGATCTTTCCGAACATGCCCATTTCTTCTAAGAATCATATAAGCTGATTAGCCCACTTGCCTTTTTTGCTGAAATTATAAATGAACATAAAAAAAAAGTCATAGCATAAGTCCCTCACAACCCTCCCAAAAGAAGATAACCAGTGAAAAACAGTAGGAAGAAAACTATTGGACTGAACTAATAGTTGAGCTGTAGTTCTTAGTGGTTTGTAAATACAAAGAAATAATATATATGCATAGCCTTTATTAAAATCAGAATACCAAATAAGATAAATGGAATAGGAGCAAAGTCCTCCTTTCTTGAATTTCTTTACTTCTGTCCTCCTTTAGGTTCCCTAGCCTCTGTTTTGTGATTCCCTCAGTTAAGTCCCACACACAATTATTGTGCTCCTTCTATATTTCTGAGCATGTGTAAGGTACCAGGGCAGTGTTTCTCAGCAGGGCCCATAACCACCTGCATCAGAATCACCTGGAATGCTGGTCATAAATGCAGATTCCTAGGCCCTCAGTAGTCAGAATCTCTGAAGGAAGCGATCGTGGAATTTGTTTTTTGTTTTTGGTGTTTTTTTTTTTTTTTTTTAACCAAGTATCCCAGTTAATTTTTGTGCACACCAAGGTTTAAGAATATCAAAGATGATTAAGATAAAATCTTAGCCCTTGAAAAGCTCACAGACTGGTGAAAAAGTCAGACAAGTAAGCAGATAATTTCAACACCAAACAGCGAAGACACAGGACTAAGAGTCATTTTGATTGTGAACTTTGATTTGGCCATTTTGACTGAGAAACATCTTTCACAGTTAAAAAAGAAAAAAAAAATTAAACTCCTAGTTTTGTTTTGTTGTTATTGTTGTTTATCTGTTTGCTTGCTTGATTGTTTTACCAAGGGTCTTAGTTGTTTTTAGGTGCTGTTGAGTCCCTTCCAACTCATAGTGACCCTATGTACAGCAGGACAAAACACTGCCCTGTCCTGTGCCATCCTCACAATCATTGTTATGCTTGAGCCCATTGTTGCAGCCACTGTGTCAATCCATCTTGAGGGTCTTCCTCTCTTTTGCTGACCCTCTACTTTACCAAGTGTGATATCCTTCTCCAGGGACTGGTCCCTTCTGGTAACATGTCCAAAGTATGTGAGACAAAATCTCACCATCCTTGCCTGTAAGCAGCATTCTGGTTGTACTTCTTCCAAGACAGATTTGTTCATTCTTTTGGCAGTCCATGGTATATTCAATATTCTTCGCCAACACCACAGTTCAAAGACATCAATTCTTCTTCGGTCTTCTTTCACATGCATACGAGGTGATTGAAAACACCAAGGGTGGAAGATGTTAAATGTGACTACTCCACACTATTTTAATACTCCTTTCCCTCGCTTTCCTCTATTACAAAAGTTGAAAAACTAAATCTCACTTTCCCAGAGCCCTTTGCAACCATAGTTTGGGATGGCCAAGTGACAGAATCCTCATCAGTAAGATACAGCTAGAGATCTGATACGGATTTCTTTCATATAAGAAGATACAATTCATACCCCTTTGCTTTCGTGATACAGGCTCTGTCCCTTCCTCATCCCCTCCTCCTTCCTTTCTTCTTCCTGCTGCCTAGAACTCGGATATTCTAGCTGAAGTTAAAAAGCCATCTTGAGATCATAAAGCAAAGGTCAAGAGAATCACAGAGACCTCAGTTCTGCTATACCTGAGCCACTCAACTGAGGACATTTTGTACAATGAAAATAAAAAATCCCTAATTTGTTTATTCCACTGTTGAATAAGATTTTCTATGACTTGCAATTGAAAGCAAACCCTAACCAATACACCAAGATATGTTTGAGACTGATTTCATAACCCTATCCCTCAATCCCAAGCTCCCTCAGTGGGGGATGGGGGGTGACCTGGAGATGAGTTGGCTCTGAATTGAGAAAGAAGCAGAGAAGAGGCAGGAGATTAGGTGAGCATTAAATGCCATCCCAAAGTCGGGCATGTAAAACCAGAAGTCAGAGCTAGTATGTTTGATCACTTCAGAAAAGGCCATAAGTTATTCTATGTGTCTGCTTTTCTCGTGAGAGTCAACTTCTACTGAGAATGACCTGAATCACAAATTCTCTGATTTCTCCCTTAATTGGTCTCATCATAGTAAATTATTTTTCATTGGTAATAACTATTATTACTTATTTTGTTTGCCATTAGAAAAATCAAGAGAATGGGCATCCTTGCATTCGGTTGGCCTCTTAACTATGCTAACCTTATTTGACAGAGTATATATCATTCACAGGGAGAGGTCCCAGATGGGGACAGTGGAAATTCCTTAGTCACAATATAGAATACAGTCCTTTTTTCTAAGTTCTAGACTGATTAGAAAATTCTAAAATACACTCAAAAATATACCCAAAATATATTTAATTATTTACAAATTCCTGTATGAGATGAATCAGGGAAAGATACGATTCATCCCCTTCAGAGGCTAATCCAGTTCTAAGAGACTTTTAAAAAATATTTGTGATTATAATGTCGTACATACATGTGAAAAATTCAAAACCTGAATATTAAAAGATAAGAAGTGAAAGTCTCACCCGTTTAGGGTCAGGTTTAAGGTAGAGTAAGAGTGAGGGAAGGCTGTTTCAAACACTGTGTGGTTGCTTTCATAACTTCATCAAAATTGCTTCTTATGCCCAGGCTGCTGTGAAAGCAGAGGGTGGGGTATTAGTACAGGATGTATGACATCCAATTCCATGACTGCTGCAAACCTCGATAACCTTTATGAGTATCCTTGGCTAGAGACTACGCTAACTTGCTTTCATTATTCTAATTTCTGTCTTATTTGAATAAAAAAAAAAAAAACCCATTGCCATTGAGTCAATTCCAACTCATAGTGACCCTATATCAGCTATATATTTTTAACCATAAACAAACTTACTGGTTTCATGCGTAGCTATGCTTCACCACAAGAAATCTTAATGTACAAAATAACTCAATTTGCAAAAGGTAAATCCACAGCTATTATTCATTTTTTTAAAAAATTTAGAGTTTCTTTACATCAGCAGTTCCTAGTACATTTAAAATACAGTTCAGCGTACAAAGGTTTCAGTCACACAGCACTTCTCAGAAACATTTTTATCATGTCTATTAAATGAGATAATCCCTGTAAAGGCTTGAGCACAAAGCCCGGTAAATTAAATGCGCTCAATAAATGTCACCCAGCTCCATTATTATGCTTGACATTCATGAGCATATTATATTTTGTAATTAAAGTAGGTATTTCTGAATCTTTTAGAGCTATGTATCTCAGATGTGAGTGTGTATAAGAGTTACATGGTGCAGTTATTAAAACTAAATTCTTGGGCTTCACCTACAGAAATCTGACTCTGTGGTTCTGCAGGGCAGCTCAGCAATCTGTATTTTTAAAGCATGCACCCTGGTGATGGTCGTGCACTGTCAGGGTTGGGTATTAATATACCAAAAAACACACACACACATATTGACATCAAGTCAATTCTGACTGATGGCGAACCCATGTGTTACACAGTAGAACTGTTCCATAGGATTTTCTTGGTAGTAATCTTTTAGGGAAGCAGATTACCAGGCCTTTGTTCCATAGTGCTGCTGGGTAGGTTCAAACTACCAACCTTTAGGTTAGTAGTTGAGCACAACTGTTTGAATCACCCAGGGACCTATGGGTGATAATATAGGGTCTATGATATTCAGGTGACATCAAATGCTGTAACTGCTAAAAACTCCAATAACTTTTATAAGTACTTGAGAGCTTAATGTGGCTTATTAAGATAAATGTCAAAAAGGGTAGGAGTGGGGACTTTAAATCAGCCGCCAACTCAACAACTGGCTACCCTGTCTAGTGTTAGAGAAAAGGGCAGCTGAGGTTTCCCCTGGCAACGAGGAGGAACCACCTGCAGCAAAGGAGGCAAATACACCCTGCGATCCCACGTAGAGTTGGGCTAATTTGGGGAAATGGCCGTTGAGTATTTTTCCACTGACATCTCAGACATCAAAGACTAGCAATATTGTAAGGAAACATACGACCCCTTCATTGCTGCCTGAAGCACTGAAACATCTAGACCAATGTTTATCTACCTCTATGATACCTTCAATCTAAAATGGAGGGTATTTCTCTGTCCCTGGCTCAAGAAATGTTAGCAGGAAGCCCTCCCTATTTCCTCGCCCCTTGCTAATAGAATTCATCATAAAGTTTCATGGAAAACGTTGGGTGAAATTCCCTTCAGAAGGGGAAAGGCTTGTTTCCTCTCCCTATTACCCCTACCTCCTCTTCCTGTCCACTCTGTCCACACTTCCTGTGTCAAAGGAGTTAGGAGGTAACCCACTCCAGGGTTCTGTAGTTGCTGACTGTGACCAAGGAAAGGACTCCCTTCTCCCATCAGCATAGCCTTCAGGACACCTGGGTGCAAAACTGGCTTTGTGTAAAAATGTCCACTTATGGCTGTTGATAAAAGACAAATAACAGTTTCATCTCAGTCTAGACACAGTTGTTGTTGTCCTTGTTGTCAGTTACTATCAAGTTGGCTTTGACTCATGGCAACCTCATGTATAACAGAACAAAACTTTGGTGTGCTTGAGTCCATTATTGCAGCCACTGTGTGTTTTGAGAGCCTTCCAACCTAGGGACTCATTTTCCAGCACTATATTAGACAATATTCTACTGTGATCCATAGGATTTTCATTGGTTAATTTTTGGAAGCAGATCATAAGGCTTTTACTCCCAGTCTGTCTTTGGAACCTCTGCTGAAACCTGTCCACCATGGGTGACTCTGCTGGTATTTGAAATAACAGTGGCATAGCTTCCATAATCATAGCAACATGCAAGCCACCACAATACAACAAACTGATAAACTAATGGTGGTATTATAGTCTAGCACATTGGAATGTGGCCAGCTCTGTATGGTAAATATGGTAACCATGAACTGAAATGCTTAATCAAAATAACCATTCTCCAGATGACAGGTAGTTAGCCCTATATAGATACCACACTACTATTTGTGTCTATATGAGTGTGTGTGCGTGTATGTGTGTGCTTTGTACTTCAGTTCTCAACCCTCTGGATGGTCCGTACAGGAATATTTTATTTCTCTTATATTTACAACAAATATGGTATAATTGTACTGAGATTTTATGGCTTTGGACCAATTTCCCATTTACAGTTTAAACCTGTAGAGAAGAAATTTCACTTAAATTAAGTTCTTTCACTTACCAATCCATCCTTGTCATAGGGTGAGTCAAAGTTATCCAGAAATTTCCTGAATACTTGTTCTTCTGACCATTCTCCATTTTGATATTTTGGGTGGTGTTTTGCATTATACACCCCACGAAGATCTTCGATTGTTATAACACCATCCCCAGTCTTGTCTAACTTTCTAAAAGCTTGCATAATTACCTCTTTTCGGGCTCTGGACATTGGAGGCTAGAGAAAGAGAAAAAACACATACACAGACATGCACAAGCTATGGAGCCTTTTGTTGTATTATACGTGATGAAATATCTTATGCCTCTCAGGGCTGTGAAATTGTTTGCATGCTATCAAATGAAAGGCATATGATTATTCCAGGAAGTCCCTAAACCTGTTCTCGGGTCTCCTATCTCTCCCTTCCAGACTGAACTAACAGCTTTCAAAAACAAAGCCTCAAAATAGCCAAACCAAACCATATGAAAGCAAACTCAGCAAATACACTGATTCACATGTCCACTTACTCTTAATGTGAGAAGAAATTCATTGAAATCTATTGTTCCATTTCCATCTTTATCAAATCTCCTGAAAAGTTCTTCTGCCTCTTCCTTTTCCATGACCACAGCATAATCGTTTAAGCCTTTTACAAATTCTTTGAAATCAAGTGTTCTGTTATTATTATCATCCATAATCCGAAACACTCTGAAGAAAATACACACCACACCAAAAAAAAAAAAAGACAGAAAGAACAAGGTGTAAGCATAAAGAGTTAAAAAGAAAACCACTCTCAAGGCTTTTCAAATTAAAATACAGAAGTCTTAGGTTCTGCTCTGCACTCTCCTTCCAACATAGAGAGCCTCTTCTCAGCCTTTCATAAAGAGAAACAACCCTTAAAAAACACACATACTATATAATTCCAATTACATGACTTTCTAAAAGATCCAAAACTATACAGACAATAAAAACATCAGTGGTTGTCAGAAGGAAGGAAGAGGAGGGCTGAATAGGTGAAGTACAGGGGATTTTTAGGGTGGTGAAACTATTCTCCATGACACTGTAATGACAGGCACATGACATTCTGCATTTGTCAAAACCCATAGAACTGTACAGCGCAAAAGTAAAGCTTGATGTGTACATTTTTTTTAATCATTTAAGAGTCAGGGAATCCCAGGAAGGAACATAGACTGTAATAAGAAAATCTAATTATATTACAAATGTATGAAATGACCTCAGTAAAGGGAGCTGGGAAAAAAGGTGCTGAAGAAAGTAACTTTGAAAATGAGTGGAATCTGTAAGATTAAAGACAAAAAGAGAGTCACATAAGCCCTCTACTCATGTGGGTACAGATTAACAATTCTGATACTGCTGTACATGTATGCTGGAATTAAACAAGTAAATGGATTGGGGAAAGTAGGTGTCAGGTTACTCACTATTGGAATGAGGATTTACAGTTAAGCAAGGGGCGGATGGTAGAAACATCCATGTGGTAATGGATTAGAGGAGCCCTGGTGGCACAGTGGTTAAGAGCTCAGCTGCTAACCAAAAGGTCTGCAGTTCAAATCCACCAGCTACTCCTTGGAAACCCTATGCAGCAGTTCTACTCTGTCCTATAGGGTAGCTATGAGTCAGAATTGATTCAACAGCAATGGGTTTGGTACGGGTTTAATGGATTAGAGTTAGAGACATCAGTCTGAACTCATGTTTAACTTAGTATACACACAGACGGTTGCATACAAAAATATTAATAGGTATATGTATATACACAAGTTAGTAGATATACGTGTATTTCCTTGTTCTGTCAGATGAGAGGGCCTAAAAAACTGAGTGTGCAACAACACCCCAGTAGCAATGAGCACACCTAGTGTCTAGATCTTGGTTTCTAATACCATTCTCCAATAAAAGGAACCAGTGCTCCTTGGAGAAATGGCTGATTCTAGGACTAGGGCAGGAAATATACAAGATGATCCTGGAGCATCTTGTAGTGCCAGAAAGTAAGGAAGTACTAAATAAATAAGCTAGCTAACTAACTAAACAAACAAAAGTCCTACCAACATTTGATATGTCAAAAGAGCACAGGAGCCAACTGAAAAAGCTGGAACAATCTGAGCAATAACATAAATGAAGTACTATTGGATTATAACCAAAAATATAAAATAAGTCTCTATGAGTCCATATTGAGATAAATAAATGATTGAATAGATAAACAAATTTCCCTTGCAGAAGAAGTCCAAATAATTTATGTAGATACTCCACCTTCAAGAAGGGAAGCATACTTCTCACTCCTTAAGTGCAGGCTGCACAGAGTGACTTACTTCCAAAAAGTAAAATACGGAAAGGGGGAAAAAGAGTAACTTTATAGTGAAGAAACCTGACAAATCAGGAGATCAAGGTGAACATCAATAGTGACGTTGTTGTTGTCCTTAAGTGCTGTTGAGTTGGTTCCGATTCATAGCAACCCTATGAACAACGGAACGAAACACTGTCTGGTCTTGTGCCATCCTCACAATCATTGCTATCTTTGAACCTATTGTTACAGCCACTATGTCAATCCATCTCATTGAGGGTCTTCCTCTTTCTTACCGACCCTCTACTTTACCAAGCACGATGTCCTCCATTCTCCATGGACTTGCCCCTCCTGATAACATGTCCAAAGTATATGAGATGAAGTCTTGCCATTCTTGCTTCTAAGGAACATTCTGGCTGTCCTTCTTCCAAGACAGATTTGTTCATTCTTCTGGCAGTCCATGGTATATTCAATATTCTTTGCCAACACCAGAGTTTGAATGCATCAATTCTTCTTCAGTCTTCCTTATTCATTTCCAGCTTTTGCATATGTATCAAGCGATTGAAAATACCATGGTTCAATAAACACATCCAAACTCCCTGAGGGACTGAATTGCTGGGTGGTGGGCTGTGGGGACCATGGTCTCGGGGAACATCTAGCTCAATTGGCATAACACAGTTTATAAAGAAAATGTTCTACATTCT